AGCAACAGTCCCAACAGGGTGGGCGTGTTCGGAAACGACTGCAATCTCCTCGGCCGATTCCCACTTCGGAGCTGTTCAGCCCCTAGTCAAGAACGTAAGAAGTGTGACTGAACAAAAACTCACCTTGGAAAGCCGGAGGGAGCTGAAGTGGGCGTGGTCGGAATCGGCCGAGGGGATTGCAGTCGTTTCCGACCACGCCCACCCTGCTGGGACTGTTGCTTTAAGGCAATTCATGGAAAATACCTCTTTTCACGCAAGAGGAAACCTCTCTCTATAATGATCTGACAAATGAAAACTCGCCTAATTGTCCGTTCCACCTCAGCTGAGCTTAGTTTCAGTCATGCACTTCCGTCAGTCGCATTGTGTGAACTCCTGCGGCAACGGTAAGAACCTAGAGCTTCTTATTCAGTATGCATTCCTCCCTCAGTCGCCTTGAGATTAAAACTGGGTGCAACTTTGAGGTCAGTAGCAGTTTCTAAATAATCCATGAATTTCAGATGCGATGGACAAGCGAGCTGAGCCTATGCAGCCCCGCGAGGAGCGCTCTTTCGAGGTAAGATTATGACTATAACACTTAACGGCACAGTCCACTTTGCTTGTGGCATGTGAGACTTCAGTGAAACCGTTACTGGCTGTAACGGACTCCATATACGCCATTATTACGGCAGAATATGCAGCTTTGGAACGACGATATAGCCCAAAATGCCAGCAGATCGTCCTCTTCTTATAACCCCGCCTTCATCGGTTCCGCTCTGAGTTCAACCGCCATTTGCTTCCTAGTCATCGGGGTCATTACCCTTGATACGTACCCTCCTCTACAGTGGTCGCCATAGTGGTCATAGATGAGCTGTAGAGAGAGGGGTTTTATCAACGACATTTGCTGATCGTTGCTGGATCAAATAGCACCTCATGTTCCACATTTGAACTCCATTACCTTGATCGTGCAATCTTGAAATGTGGTTTCAAATTGCGACAGAGGTAGAAGACGATCTGAAAATATGTTCTGAATGTATGAAGTTACAATTGGTTCGGTAACAAATGAATCAGCGTATGGCCGATGTCAGACTTTGCGAATCGCGCGATTCGCTAGCGTCCGCGGTCGCGTTGCGGTACCAGCCAATTGAGTGATTCACTGGCCGCGACGCGACCGCAGACGCTAGCGAATCGCGCGATTCGCAAAGTCTGACATCGGCCTATGGATTAAAGAACCACGAGAAATCAATATCTATATTGATTACATTGCTACAAAACTAGGAATCTACTTCTCACTAAGTTTTCTTATTTGAGAGAATTTCTTAGGATCTTTTCGGACTTTTTTCATCTCCATCGTAAAATCAAAAACCCGAGTTTTTAATCAAACAGGGTTTCTGCAGCTTATTCATGATTGCGCCTTCAGGAAGCCAGCCCGTTGATCGATCGGCAAACCCGAGTTTCAGCGTGCACCCTCAATTCCGGTAATTTCATTTGTAATCATGTATTTCATGCTTACTGCTGTTTGTTTTTCAGTGTAATTACTTGGGTTTTGCAGATTGGACGCGCGCCTGAGGCACACCCACTGATCCGCTTTGGTAAACGATCGCCTGACAATGCACCTTTCATTCGGTAACTCTTAAAAATCATAAGATTCTGGGCGACTTGTAACTTTTCGTGTTCCTCATATAAAGGGAAAGGCGGTGAGGCGGAGCTTCAGTTTGGACGAGTTGTTGCGGTAGCTGCATCCACTCCATCAGTGACGTCGTGAATTCCCTAAAAATTCTCATTATAGATTTGGCAGAAATCCGGAAGCGTCGCCGTTGATTCGTTTCGGAAAGCGATCACCTGCTGCTCCTCTTATTAGGTCAGTTGAAGACAAATTGTTTGACTCTGGTCTAGCCCACCTAAAGTTGCGCCGTGCACATGACTTTCATTCTAAGAAAGCTTAGTAGACATTAAATCGCTTAGGCCAATAGCATGGTTTGTGGGGTCAGGCAACAAACGAATGCTCTCCTATCCTTAAGGATACAGGGCCTTTTTTCGAACCAGTTGGCCTCAAAGAAATTGGCCCCCGGGGGTGGAGTCACAGTAGCGCTGTCCCTAAGTATAGGATGCCTCCACTCGACATATTGGTCATTCCATAATTTCTCATATAATGTTGAATGTAAATTGTTAAGGCGATTTTAACATTTCTTCGAGATCAACTGGTGTCCTGAAAACCGTAAGCATATGCAAGGGTCATTTGTGAACGCGGGGACTGGTATCTGTTTAATGGAAATGCATAGTAACAGGAAGTGTTTACCGTTGGATGAGCTTGCAGATATATCAGCTCTCAATTTTGTGACAATTTCAGTATTTTGAAAGGAAAAGTGCAGGAGTCTTTCTGGTTTTTTTTTATTTCTGCGCTGTTTTGTCAACTGCTTGCGTTTAATGTACGCTTTACGCTCTCTGCCGTCTTTGTCTCTCTCACAAACTCGTCGTCTCTCCGAGGAAATTGAAAGTGAAAGAGGTTGTGTTGAGGGATGGTGGATGAGGTTGAACCTCGGTTGAAGTTTGACTGTCCGGGCAGGTATTCGCATTGGCAGGGAGGGTTGCCCACTTCCTCTTCCCTCATTTCCCGACTCTTAACGGCAGCTTTTTGGAAGAATTTCGGTACGGAGTTGGAGTGTTTGAGGTTGGACTATGCTCAGGTGATACTATCGCTGATTATAGTCTAGCCTGAAACAGTCCATGGACGAGCCATTGAACGCAGAGCCGACAGCCCCCTGTTAGTCAAACCTCGTAGTTCTACGAGGTTCGACTACAGGGGCTGTCAGTGACATACGATCGACCAAAAAGGCTAATTATGACCGTGATAGGGGGGAGGCGAGGTTATGCTGACTGGCACACGTTATAGAAGAATCCTACTGTGCTGCTCGGTCAATTGGCCTTGTTATAATTATCAGCTCTGCTGGGGAAGCCAGAACGGGAGGGATTGGGGGGGGGGGCGGAAGGAGAGATTCAACGATATACCCAAGCAGCAAATTTTAACCCTTTCGGCCCTGGCGGTGGCAATTGCCACCACCAAATTCAAACGCTTGCATTCCGCTGAAACAGCATGGTTTTTCTAATCCTGCTAGAGGTTGCTTCAGTCAACCTTCCCCTTCCTAATTATGAGCTTAACCGGCCATTTCATTGTTTATTGCTGTTAGTATTGCAAGTATTTGTGTACAAGTGCAACAGTGAATGGGCGCTGACCCCGCAACCGGCCAAGTAAGTGTGACTTTGTCTTAAAATACTTGAAGTGGATCCATTCCTAAATCAAAATTATGGGTTATAATGTTATGCAAGATTATAAACTTTTTCGGCATAACTATGAAATTTCGAATTGTTTCGACATAAGCTTAAAAACTAAAAGGTGGGCCAATTTTCAAAGCTTCTTAGTTTCTTTGTTTGTGATCGAATAGCTTCCAAATTTCGCCATAATGATACCTATATGCTCACAAGTAATAAACAATAGCTAGAAGAAAAATTTCTCCACGGGGAAAAATTCAGGTCCGAAAGGGTTAACCATTTAGCTGCCGTAATCCCCTTTTTTGGGGAAAGGGGGGTACGAATTTTTTTTTGCAGAGGCAAGACATGCGCCATATCCCATTGGTGCGAAGAACGAAGTCACTGCAGGACGTTCAGGGCTTCAGTCCTTCGCTCCTCGGAGTAGGCTTTCAAAGGCTAAAGGGCAATGCCTACCGCGACACTCGCTGGCTCCATTTTCAGTGGACATTTTTGAACTTTTGTATTGAACTTCTTGCGCAATACAGCGAGGAGTTAAAGGGCACGGCGTATCACAAGAAATACAACTGGACAATAATTTCAGGTTCGGACGTTCTCCCAACGCTTCACCACTCATTCGATTTGGCAAGAAGTAGACGCTCAGGTACGTAAGTATTACATCGAGGACGTCCATATAATGTAACCCGTAACCCAATTTTTTCTGAGCAAGGCCATCTGAGAGTCTGAATTTCCTTTTCAGAGCCAATGATGCTTGAGCAGTCTGCTGCTAGAGATCTCGCACTTCATTGTTCTACGTGATCCATGATTGTTGTCGTCCGCCCCACACTTGAACTCCATTCATTCGTCCATTCGCGGCGTATTCAGCCAGCCTGTTCTACTATTTCTAGTTGAATACCATGTCGTTAATGCAGAATAAACTGTATTTGTAAAGAAAACAATTTCCTTATCAACTGCTCGGTTAAAAAAAACATAGCGCTACACAGAACTATTCTGATAAAAATGACATTTGAATTTTTATGTTGAGAAAACTTTAAAAGGAGTGAATGATCCAGTGTCAAAAATTCCATAATGATTCTTATCCATAATGATTGGCGTGAAAAAACGGTGGGTCCACGTTAAAAAAAATCGGTCTGCTTGCCTGAAGGTGGCATTCGAAACGGGGAGGGCAG